GTTTTCTACATGTTAAGTTTGAGAATGACCTACATTCAGTTGAAAATTTAGGGCTGAAACTCCAGAGGGTGATGGAGCATGTTCTGAAATTTATATGGGACAATTCCTTGAGTTCTTAGGAATTTGATTATTTGTACCTCTTGTTTTCCAAAAATAATTTCAAGTAGCAGTTCTTCACTATAGGTAGAAATTCTTTCATTTGTTGCCAAAGCCTCAGCTGCCCTGCTAGATGTCATGACAATTTTATAAGATGACAAGAATTAAGTTTTTCAAATAAATTGGCAGTGAAAAATGAGATGTGATTAAAAAAATTAGTTTGTAGCCAATAAGTGATGGTGGAATTTTGTAATGTCTATAGTGATTGTATGTTACACTTCTGATAGAAATGTCTGGTTTTACTTTACTTTTTCTAGATGCTTTACCAAATACTCATGTGCAAAGGGAAAAGTTAAAAACAGACAACTTTGGGTCCACTGTAACTGTCACATGCCATCAGAAAGTCTAAGATAACTGTTTCTTTTCCCATCATGGATGAAGTGCAAGCAAAAAGTAAAGTCAATTTACATTTTAATGCTCCTATTTGAAGTAATAAAATGGTATTTGGACATTGGCACTCTACTGTGCTTACTGGTAGAATGTATAGTTTGGTTGAAGTTGTAAAAAAAAAAATGCACACAGCAAATTATTTCTGTTTCATTCTCAGGTCTATATCCTGTATTTGAAATGTGAGAAATAAGGAAATGAAAGAAGTTATTAAATTTTTTTAATGCAAGCCTGGTAAAAGGTAAATTTATGTTTTTGGGTCTCTTGCCAGCAACATGGAGCTCCTATCCCCAATATCCCACCGAGTTCTTCAGGAAATGACACCTGATCAAAGATGAAATTTTAGAAACCAATAAGATCTGTACCCCCAAGAGAAAAATCACATTAATTTGCATGAGCTTTTCCTAAGCAAAAATAGCAAATAGAGATAGCACTTTTTTTTTTTTCATTTTTGACATTTTAAAAGTTGCAATTACTTTCATTCACTTATTGTATACATTGTTTGGAGTCTACTGTATGTGAGGGACTAGGCTATATGTCAGGTAAATAATATCAAAATCAGATATGATCCTTGTCTTCAGGTTTACATTGTAGAGAAAGTGACGATGATAGTGTATTAAAGCTGAGGCATGAGAGGTGGTATGAAGAAGGAAGATATGATGATAGGAGCGTCTACAAAAAGAATTGACATAAAGGAAAGTCAGAGAAGTACTTTTCACAAAAAAGCATCATCGGAAAAGACATTTTTGGAGGTGGGACATCCAAAAACATCTTGTCTATAGTGATTGTATGTGAAACATCTTGCAGAACAAGAGGCTTTGGACACTAACTAATAGAGGTTTAAACAATTCAGTCATTTTACTATCTCATGCAACAGGAAATTTGGAGGTATTTTCATCAGGGTTGGTTTAGAAGTTGTTTCAGGATTGGCTCAATGATGTCAACAAAGCCCTGGGCTCTTTCCTGCTCTCTATTCCTCCACCCCTTCTTGTTAGCTATGTTCTTCTGCTTGTCCCCTCAAGTTCAGAAGATGTCACAATTCTAGGCATTATGTCCTCATAGAACTGCATTCAGAGGCAGGAAAAGAGGTATTTCTTCTTGCATGTCTCTTTTTTTTTTTTTTTTTTTTTTTTTTTTTTCAGGAGTCTTCTTTCTTAAAAGGGATTTCAGATCCCATTGTCTTTGGACATATTCATGTGCTAGCCGTAGGCGCTCATGGGAAAGCCAACATACAGCAAGCTTAATCTCTATCATAGGAGTCAGGATCTCTCAGCAAGGGTGTTAGAGGTGAAAAATGCCTGTAGGATGTAGTTTCTACCACGGGGAGTGACTCTGAAGGTTGTGACCACAGCTGTGATCTGAAGGGCAAGGAGGATGACTAGAGAAAAGGCTAAGAGGTGGACTCCACTAGTCAACACCCTGTGAAAGGCTCTGGAGCAGCACACTGAAATAACAAAATAGTATTTGGACCTAGACATTCTAGTAAGCTTAATGGTACAGCCTATGGTATAGGTGAAATAGTATAAATAAATAAATGCATATATCAGGTTATTTCTGTTCCATTCTTAGGCCTATATCCTGTATATAAGTTCAGAAAGGACCTCAGGAATGGAGAGTGGAGGGAATCCAGCAGAAGGTGAAAAGAATCAAAGATTCCACTGGAGTGCTGGCAGTGCTGATGTTGGATTACAGGCTGTTTGAAAGACAAAGAGATTAGAGACTGGACGCTTTCCTGGAGAATTCAGATCCATGGAAGCAGGGGACCAGAATAGGTGGGAGGTGGAGAGGTTGAGCTTTGGTTGATAGGGCCAGTAACAGGGCTATAGTAAGTTGCTCTATGAACATTGGGACACATCCCATTACTCCTTGGCATAGAAAATCTTTATTAAAGTTAACCCAAACATCAAAGCCGCCCTTGGGCTTAAAATTTCTCTCAGAAATAGAAAGCCCAGAAAAAGCTACCCACAAGTATGGCCAACTGATATTTTGACAAAGGAGCAAAAGGGACTCCATGAAAGAAAGATAAGCTTTTCAATAAATAGTGCTAGAGCAATGCGATAGCCACAAGCAAAAACCTGAACCTAAACCTCATACCTATTAATGGAAAACTTAACTCACAAAAGTTAACTCAAAATGAGCCAAAGACTTAAATGTAAAAGGTAAAACTAAAACATCCTTTGAAAGAAAACAAGATAAAATCATTAGGACAGGGGATTGGAGAATAGTTCTTAGACATGACACCGAAAGCGCAATCCATAAATTTAAAAAATGAATAAACTGGACTTTATCAAAATTAAAAATATTTGTTCTGTGGCAGATCCTGTTAAGAGAATGAAAATACAAAGTATAGATTGAAGAAAATATTTGTGAATCATGTTATCTGGTAAAAGACACACCTAGTATATAAAGTACTCTCAAAATATTATAGGAAAAAAAAACAAATAATGCTAATTAGAAAATGGGCAGAAGACACAAGATATTTAACTGAATGGAATATACAGATGGCAGATAAAAACATGAAAAGACATTCAACATTATTAGCCATTAGGGGAATGAATGTAAATTGAAACCGTGATGAGGTATTACTATGCACTCATTATTTACTTTAGCTCAGCTGAAATAAAAAATAGCAATAATAGAAAATAATAGCAATAATAGAAAATGCTATTATAAATAAAAATAGCAATAATAAAAAATGCTAGTGAGGTTATTGAGAAACTGGATCTCTCATACAGTGCTGGAGGGAATGTAAAATGTTACAGTTACTCTGGAAAATAGTCTTTAATTTCTGTAAAAAATGAAACATACATGTATCATATGACCTGGCAATTGCACTTTTGGGCATTTATCTCAGAGAAATGAAGATTTTTGTCCACATAAAAACTTATGTTCAATTGTTCACAGCAGTTTTATTTGTAATAGCCCAAAATGGGAAACAACCAAAATGTTCTGCAATAGGTGAATGGTTAAATTGTGGTACATCCATACCATGGAATATTACTCAGCAATAAAAAGGAATGAACTATTGATACACACAACAACTTGGATGGATCTCAGGTGTGTTATGCTAAGTGAAAGAAGCCAATCTCAGAAGGTCACATACTGCATGAGTCCATTTACATAACCTCTCAAAATGTCAAAATTATAAAAATAGAAACAGTGTAGAGATCACTAGGGTTAGGAGGGCAAGTGTTACTAAAAAGGGTAGCACCAGGGAGATCTTTGTGAGGGTGGAATAGTTCTGTATCTTGATCATGGTGGTGTTTACACAAATATGCAATAGAATGACACAGGACAATACAAATACTTTATATCAATGCCAGTTTCCTGGCTTTGATATTGTACTAAAGTTATATGAGATGTAATCACTGGGGGAAACAGGTACACAAGACATCTCTGTACTATCTCTGCAACTTCATGTGGATCTATAATTATTTCAAAATGAAAAGTTTAAAATAAAATTTTCTCTGAGGCGTCTCTCCCCTGCCTTCCTTCGTCTTGTGCATTTCTCTTTTCCTGAGTATGACTTTTTCTCTCTTTCTCTTCCCCTTTCCCTTATGTACTGGATTTTCCTTTAATGGTCCATAATGCCAAACTAAGTCATTGCCCATCCTCCCATTGTCCTATTTACTTAATGAAGATTACGTTTTCATGTGCTTAAAAAGGCAGGAAGGTACTAACTCATTAAACAAATGTCTTTAAAAACAAAACCCAAAACTAACCTGCTTTTTATTTTATATAACTCAGTTAATCATTGTTCTTTAAGGTCAGAAGTCCACAATACAAACAGGTTTCCAACACTTGCATTGGAAGATAATTTTTGTTTTATATGCATGGAGCTTTAATATCATTCTTTGTGTCTATGGATTATGAACACACACACATTCAGGATTTACTGGGGGAAACAGTGACATAAAATATTATGTTCTATTGATTCTTCGTATAAATCTACATGTCAAAAAATAATCCTTTGCCAGGTTATGTATCCAGATTTTTCGTTTGGAAAATGTGAACATCACAACTACAGAATACCAAACTGAATACAGCCCTGTCTTGAGGTCTTGCAAAGTGAATTTAGCAATACTTTGGAAAAGTACTACTTTATGTTCTTAAGGACCCAAAGAGCTCTCCGACTTTTCCAGTGGGCTCAGCCCCAAATATTACAATTTCTTCAAGAAATTACGAGTTGCAGGTGTTTAAATTTGCAAGTACCTTCTTTTGGTCTTTTCATTATCATTGCAAAACACCAGTCCTAACAACCAGTAAAGATTATAGTTTATGGTGGTAATATTTACATTTAATGCACTTTTGCATTTCTTCCTATACATTTTTCGTCTTAATTCTTTCAATTAAACGTTTCTCCTCTTTTTTTAAGCCCCGTATTAAAAGGAACATCGCACAGAGCTTCGCTACATTGCGATTGCACTGGCTTGAGAACGAAGGAAGTTAGTCCCTTGCGGTGATCCGTCCTCTCATCCTAGTGTTTGCCTGCAGCAAGATGGCGGCGGTCTCAATGTCAGTGGCGCTGAAGCAGGCGTTGTGGTGGAGAAGGGCAGTGGCTGTAGCTGCCCTTTCCGTTTCCAAGGTTCCGACCAGGTAACAGAATTGTCACACTTCTTCTTCAAGCTTCTTGGGTTCCTCCATTTTTGCGGAGTCTCTGCTGGCTGAGTCCCGGAGGAGGCCTCGTGGAAAGCGTCCTCTGGTGACCCTTTTCTCGGGAGGGGTCGGGTGGACTAGAGACTGTCTGCTATCCACTGGCGCTGGCCAGGCGAGTGAGGGCCTGAGTGCGAGGCTGGGGAGGAGGACCTGTGGTTTCCTAGAAACTTTTAGCTTGTGGCTGAGGGAGAGGGTCTGTAGGGAGGGTTTGCCTCCGGAGCTGCAAGCTGAACCTTAGCCCTCAGAGAAGGGGAGGAGTCTCACTGATTTCTGTCTCCACTTTCTGCGTCCCTTCCGTTTGTCATCTGTTTGCCCACCACTACAGTCCTTACAGAAGGGTTAAATCACTGTATTCCTTACATGGTTTTAAGTGCTTTTAATTTGGTTTCTGCACAGGAAGATTTTTTGTTCATTAGTCTGCTTGAGAAGAAAACTTGTTTGGAATTCAGTGTTAGTAAAAATAGCACTGCTAGTAATATTGGCAGGTGAGTTTTAAAAGGCTGATGGTAATGCTTGGAGGTTTTACATCAACAGTTTTGTAAAAGCCTCACAGTGATTCAGGGATTGAATTGAGTTGCTGAGGGCTCTTTGCGTTCTTGAGAACCTAAAGTACTTTTCCAAAGTATTGTCAGATTCATTTGTCAGTTGATTGAGTTGTTAGTGTTTTTTCCTTGAAGCATTTTTGTGATGATTTTTTCTGCTGGATTACTTAGTCTTCCATTTTCTATTTTTTAGAATTTTCTTGAGTCTTTTATTATAGTACTAATACTATACATAAATACACACATTAGAACAAAGAACGGAAAAACTGGATGGAGAGATTTGAAGGGGGTAGGAGGGATGCAAGTGGTTAAAAGTTGAAAAGAATTTCTAATAGAATGCTAATTGATGTAGTGTTAAATATAAATGGAATGCAGATAATTAGGATGAGTTAATTCGAAAGAATTTTTAAGGATGAATTTTATTAAGGGTTTTCAAATAGTGGGTGTTGGGTGGGAAACAAGAGAGTGTCCCAGTCGGGTCCGTGGCTTATGAAAAGGCTCGAAGGCATTAGTAAAACGATTACTAAATACATAAAATAGTCACTCAAAAATAAGGTGCTAAGATTGGGGAAAGGCAAATGATGTTTGTAATTAAGTGTTCCATATATGGAAAGTATTTTTCTAATGTAAAATACTCCACTGGTTAACTTAGAGCTCATATAGCGGCAACCAATTCCCCCGTACACATTATAGGGATTAATTGTGCATTCCCAGATAAAAATGTACTCATGGTAGCCCCAGAACTGAAAACAAGTTTGAAGGGACCACTGGTTTATGGCTAAACGTGGCTGTAAGTTTAAGTCACAGCCATTTTGTCAGCAATTATAGTAATTGAAGTTAAGATGACATTAGATTTTGAGAACTCTGATGATAATTATTACTGCATGTCCAAACTTAAAGAGTTTTTGCCTGCAAATGTAAGAGATTTGAAAATAAATCGTATAATCATAAAATTAAAAAAAAACTTTAAAAAACATAACAGCAAAGGAAGTCATTTTTAAAATACAAATTAACACATTTATTTGTTTTCTGTGCCACATTTTTACCCCAAGAGCTTGTCATGTTCATCTTAATTTGAGGGAAATTTATAGACCTCTCCCTTACATACTGTTTGTTCTTCCTCCTTAAGCATTCTTTTCCCATTATGATTTGATTTCCCATTATGATTTAATGAGGATCTGAAAAAGGTGAGTAGAAAGAACCAATTAATGGGGAAATCTACATCTAAAATTCATTTTATTGTAGTGCTTAGAAAAACATTTGCAAATCATGTAATATTTCAGATTACTTGAATAAAATATGGGAAATGGAATCAGTAAGATAAGGAGTGGAGTAGGGAACTGAGGAAAAGGAAGGATGCAGTTAGCTGCTACATTAACATAAATTCAATTATAGTATATCAGTAAAAAGCAAAACAAATAATGCAACAACATATACAAACGAGGAATAAAAAATTAATTTGGGTGATTCAGCTGATCTAGTTACTCATTGAGCTTGTGCTCTAGAGTTGGTCTCAGTTTCCAAGTGCTTCTCATTTCATTGTACTGAATGTGAGGAGGGACAGAACAGGTTAAATTGTCTACTTTTTTTTGAAATGTAGTTTCGCTCTTGTCACCCAGGCTAGAGTGTAATGCACAATCTCAGCTCACTGCAACCTTCGCCTCCCAGGTTAAAGCAGCTCTCCCACCTCAGCCTCCCGAGTAGCTAGGATTACAGGCGACCCCCACCACGCCCAGCTAAGTTTTGTATTTTTAGTAGAGACGGGGTTTTAACATGTTAGCCAGTCTGGTCTCGAACCGCTGACCTCAGGCAATCCACCCACCTTGGCCTCCCAAAGGGCTGGGATTATAGGCATGAGCCACTGCACCTGGCCCTAAATTGTCTTACATTTATCCTTACTTTCCCTGACTTTCCTAAGGGTTTTTCCGGGGTAAACATATTCAAAATGGATTTATCAGCCAGATGAAATGGCACTCTATTTCAAAGTAGCAACATTTAAGATATTTGATGCAGTGATGTTATTTATTCATTTATTTGTGTTCATGTATACTTATCTCACCTAGTGCTGTATCATCACTTCTCAATATTTACTAGGTCTTGTGTTTTCCTCAAAAAAGTCTTTAGGATGTTAAATCACCAGAGGATGTTAAATCACCAGAGGATGTTAATTAATGACTGGTGGGGACTGAGTGTATGGGACCTGTTTGTGAGGCCTATTTATGCCCTTATCTGTGGCTTTGGTCTGTTGCTGTATTTCTTTTTTCAGCATTAAATAAACTAGCATGAAATTGAGTCTTCAGCTCATTGGGGAATTGAATTGGAACCTCCAATTAGTAGCAGTCCTTAAGGTTGACAAGAATTTTGTGTATGTTAATACCTTGCTGGGAAATAGGCTCAGACCAAATATAGGACACTTAAGACCAATAGGTTCACTTCTACATCAGATAAACTGAATAAACAAATTCCTCTCCAAGGGGCAGCTACTTTTGCTATCTTTGTAACGCATCCAAGCCAAATTTTGAGAGCTTGAAAGGTTTCTAATATGTTTCCTAATAGGTTTATTGTTTTGTTTCTTTTAATTTTTCCAAATGCCTATACTTAGTTTTCATCAATAGCAGGCATGTTTGTTGAATTTTTGTTAGAAAAATTATTATTATTATTTGAGATGGTCTCATTCTGTTGCCCAGGCTACAGTTCAGTGGTGCGATCTCAGCATTCTACAACCTCCACCTTCTAAGCTCAGGTTATCCTCCTGCCTTAGCCTCACAAGTAGCTGGGACTGTAGTGCACCTGCTACCACATCCAGCTAAGTTTGTATTTTTAGTACAGACGGGTTTTCACACTGGTATTGAACACCAGGCCTCAAGTGATCCACCTGTCTTGGCCGCCCAAGGTGTTGGGATTACAGGCATGAGCCACTGCACCCAGCCGGAAAATGAAATATTTTAATATTTAATGTCTGGCACGTAAGCCTTCCCTAAATAAGTGATAATTTTATTATTGGTTTAAATAGCCTGAATATTTTTCATTTCTTTAATCGTGGTCATAACTACTGTGATAGATGGTATTATTGCTTAAAGTATTCATACCATTATCTGTAACAGGATGATATATCCAAAAACCATTGGCCCATTGACTTGCTTTATCCAGTAAAATGTTAGTGGAAATAATATGTCATGTCAGACAGAAGCTTTGAGAGCTGTCCTGTGTTTTGTCATATTGCTTTTCCCTCTGATGTGAAGTAGGCGTACTTCAAATGGGATCTGCTCTTGTAGCCCAGATCTTGGAATGTAGACTACATAGTGCAAAGCAGAAACTGATTCTTGTTGCAAGATTTTGTAAAATATAAATTGAGTGAAAAATAAACCTTCACTGTAAGCCACAAAGGTGTTTGGATTGTTGGTTACCTAAGCATTACAACCTATATGCTGACTCTATTTTGTATACACACATCTTTGCAAGTGAGGAGATTTTAGCACATGGACCAATATATCAGCAGTGAAGTCACAAGCTTTTCGAGGACACAACCACCATATTTTTATTTATTTTTGTGTACTTCATGGCACCTAATGTAATGGCTTGCATGTAGCAGGTAAATGCTTATCTTATAGATGAATAAATACATATTTAGAGATGAGTGATTATCAGGAAAACAGGGAGCATTACACAGTATTTCTTTTAATAGCTTCATTAGTTATAGCCAGATAGGCACTAGCCTACATAAATATGAATATAATTTATGACACGTATTCTTTGCAATTATTTGCAGTGTCTGAGTGTAGGCTATTCACCTAGAACTCTGTTACCTTTTGGATTGAAGTCTTATGAATGGATTTTGTACTCATACATTTTGACAAGTGTTCAGACACTTCTTTTGTAATCAAATTTAAAAATGCAAGAGGAAATGAATCTATTTGGGAAAGGGTACCCTGGAACATGAGAACTTTTTTGGAGAAGAGTAACTATGTGAAGTTTTAAAAAGTTAATACATGGGACTTAATGGAGAAAGATGGAGCAACTTGGTTCCTGTATAATATCTGCTAAAAGAGATCTGTTTGGGGTGGGGTATACATAGAATTTAGACAGAATACAGATTGTACTGAATACAAACAATTTCAAATGGAAAAGCTTCTAAAACATATAGCTTGATAGAAGTTGAGAATCATTTATTCTGAGCAAAATTAATAACAAGTAACATTTATTTTTAATTTACTGTGTATCAGCTACTGTGCCAAGGACTTCACCTGTATTATCTCATGTATTTCCCACAGTAATCCTATCAACTCAGGTGTTGTTATCCTCATTTTTCAGATGAGGAAACAGGTACAGAAGTGAAATTACTTAAGTTTACATTGCCTGGAAATATAGTCATCCTATGGTATCCATGAAGGATTGGTT